GAATAGCAACACTGTCGTCAGCGCCATCTATTGACGAACAGCTTTAGAAACCTATAACTTCTGATCAATGGCATTTCAACGAAACTTGTGTCATATAAAATTGTAAATAGTCTACTTTACTATGACCAGTAATATTTATGACCGGTATTATTTGTTAAACACAAATGTTACAGGGAGAAATTAAGGAATACCTCAATACAAAAATTTAACTATGTAGAACACAGTAGGATAATTTAAATTAGTATATAATTTTGTTTCTTTGGAATAGGACAACACTTTCTTAGCAATATTATGATTATCAATTTTTTTATTTAGTAACAAAGACTTTTTATTCCAACGAATTTTAACAGATAAAGACGAAAGCGATAATACCGATCTAACCGTGTGACTATTTTTTATGATGGTGGGAAAATCGAACACTATAATCGAAACGCTTTCGGTTTAGATTAGGCGCAACTGACAGCTGTGCGGTGATTACTTAGTCATCGTTCGTTATAAATCAAAGTCAGCCCATTAAGAAAAAAATCACGAAAATACCCACAAATAAAAAAAAACTTTGTGATTATGTATTAATCACAGATATCCAGATATGAATATTGGTTTTATTTTATTGGGGTTCTCATTACTTGTCTATATATTTTTATTATGTACCGCCACTTATTTTTTTATTTTGTTGGTTTTATTTTTGTAAATATTCTTCCACTCAACATAATCGGATATTTTTAACAAAACTCAAAACCAGGGGAAAATTCTTATCGATTGGATTATAAAGTTGAATGATTTCTTCATTTTGAAATATTTGTTGTTATTTTGTTTAGAATTTTTTTTCATTCACTTCACAATAAATAATGCGCCATAAAAAAGAAATATTTTGGTAATAAAAGAAACAAACAACAGTAACAACAATTATTGGGGGGAAAATAAATCACATCGAGAGACATGGAGGGATTTCAAATTATGCAAAAAAAAAAAAACTAAGTTAATATAAGTAACGTAATTTATGGGTAAACTTGTGTATCGACAATTAAAAATTATGTTATAAATTACAAAAAATAATACAATTTAAACTCAAAAAGAAATATGAGAAATAACTCAGTGACTCTAAATAATTTTTGGGGCGTATCCATAACCACGACCTTTCCCATAAATCAGTTTTTTTTTTTTTTTTGCAAATATAAAATATTTTTTTGCAACACAATCTCTATTTTTGCCTCAATTGCGTCACGTAGCATGTATTTACCCCCATATTTGAAAGGACCACATACTGATGATTACGTCTTTGACACATATAAATATCAAACGACAGCCAATTTTTTTTTTTTTGCTGATTAGCAATGGCAAAATTTATATAGGGGGCTTTGAGGGTCTACTACTTCTTAGAATGCTAAATTTAATACTTAAGTCATGAGCACGTCATTCGTTTTAGAAGTTATATATAGCTTAATTAAATAAAAAAGTGAAAATGATATTATGTTTACTCAGTTTAATAATACAACAACAAATAATTAGAAGAAATTAAGGAAAATGCAACTCTGTAGTGGTGTCTTATTATGTCATGTTTACATGTGTAAACACATCTTTGTTTGGTACAATAAAAATGTAGTCCATATGGAACAGCTGATATCTTGATTATCTGTCAAAACACTTATTTTTAATTTGAATTCGCCGCGCAACGCTGACAACCATACAATGCAGACAAATTAATGCTGTTTACTGTATTATTAAATTAACAATAAAGCAGCATTTTTATAAAAAAATATTATATTTATAATATTCTTGCGTTTTCTTCACCCATTTTAATGTTTATTGATACAAAATCAAAATAAAATTCACATCACAATTAATTAGCTTGAAAACAATATTGTTGATTAAATATAAGCTGATAGTTCAAGAAAATTCTTACTGTGTAACTTTCCTTGTAAGAATTTGCAAATACTCGGTGACACAGCTGTCAAATCTTCTCTCTCAATTCACTCTGTTTTATTGGACGTACAGCATTTTGTAATAATTTGTACAAAGTATTGAACGAACCTATAATCCACTGGGTTTTTAAAGAAGATTAGCTTGACGTATACGATATGGAATTCACGTTTGAAGTCGATATATTTAGTAGTTTGAACGCGCTCCTATTGTGATTCCAACCAAGGCTCATTAATAAGGTTATCCAGGGAGACCAGCTGGTTTCTCAAGTTTACTGTTAAAATCCATTATTGTGAATTGGCTTCCATTATGAAAACGAATACAAAGCCTAAATGTTTGACATTAACTGTTTTTTGCTCGCTGAATAACCTTATGAATAGATATTGCTTTATCTTAAATATTCCGAATTCTAATGTGCTTCACACCAAGACCCATTTATAAGGTCAACTAGTAAAATCAGCTGGATATCATCTGCTTCTCAAGTTTGCTTTCAAAATCCATTATTGTGAATATATTTCCATTATGGAAATGTAAACAATGTCCACATTTTTGACATGAGTCATGAGAAAAAGCAGCTGACTTTCGCTAGCTGGATAACCTTATTAATACATTTTGATTCCAACAGGACGGACTGTTGGACGACGGTCAGAAAGACAGTGCAGTGCTGCATTCAATGCAGAATTTTATTCTGTTTAAGAAGTATTTCTCTTAAGGTTTATGGGGTATTTGGGTATAAAAATATATGTGGGTTTGTTTGCCCAATTAAATAAGATAGAAATGACGCGAGTTTCAATTAATATAAAAAAAAACTTATATTTAAATTTACTTTGACAAAAATATGAAATAAGAAAGTTATCGATATGAGTTGTGTAGGTGTGAACTGCATCGCTGTCGACAGGAAATGAGATCGAGAAAGTTATCGTTTTTATGCAAATGAAAAAATGCATGTGCTTGCGCAATATCGGTTATCGTTTGTCTTTGGTAGCTGGAGGTTGTCACATATATAAAAACTAGATAATAGAGAGGATACATTTCTATTATATAGCTTTGTGCAGAGCCAAAAGTTTGTAACGTCGCGAAATATTGGTCATAGACCCACATTTAAGTATGCCGATCATATGTCGACGATCTAGACATGTGTGTCTGTCTGTTTGCCCGTCCTCTGTCCATTATAATTTGTAAACAGGCCACAGAATACCCCTATTGATTTTTAAAGGTAGGTTAATATTTAGGGGGTGAAATGGACCAAAAAAAATTTTTTTGTCTACAACTATGACCCGAACATCGCAAAATTTTGCATGGAAATGGGAATCAGGCCAGAGGAGCTAGAAGGCTTTTTGTCCCTTGACATATCCTGGGAAGAAATCTCAGTCAAAAAACCTGTCACATAGACCTAAAAACGATTGAGAATGTTGATAAAGCTGTGGACAATGTCACAGATTCTCTTCTGAGGAGCCATAAGGTTTCTTGTCCTTTTACATACCCTGGAAGGAAATCTCAGCCGGTATGGTGATCAAAAACCTGACATCTTTCAGGAAGGCTGCTAGGATAAACGTAAATCTTGGGTTCGCTATAGCGAGCGAGTCAATCGAAGGAGTAAACGAAGCGGCCAGATTTCGCAGAGTAATATCTAAAGATCCAAAATCTACAGGTAGTATTAAGCGAAGCGACGGAACGTAAATCATTAACCCACTTCCCTGGTTGTATGGACCATAACAAGGAAGTGCGGTGTGCACATTGGCATATGAGTTGAACCAAGGAAAATTTTGCATGGAGAAGGGGATCACGCTAGAGAATAAGCGTGCCTTTTTGTGATAAAGACCGGTCAATCTTTAGCAGGTCAAGTGGACCCTGGCTTTTGTGTGAAAAATGACAAATTTTGTATTCTATGGCGAATATATTTACTCCTGAGATATTGAAACCCAACTTCTTGTTTGGCTGTAATTTCAATTCTAATTTATTTATGAAATATTCTGACTTAAGAACTACATAAACTAATCTAGCTTAGCCTAATCTTATACACATAACAGCTATCAATTCTCACATTGCACGTGGGGGTTGTGTTCATTTGTCGAAATGATCGCTATGATATTTCATATGAAATTCCGGTTATGGTCCAGGACGAATCGTATAATTTCCATTGATGTTCAGATGATATTTAGGGAGTGCAATGAACCAACAACTTTAATTTCACAAAAGTCACATGAAAATCACAAAATTTACAGTCAGAAGAAAATCTGACCAAATTCTTAGACCGGCCGTTTAGATGGTGATCGGTCAATAATCCGATAGTCAAATCTAACAAAATCTAAAGTGACCACATTTTTATTTTATGGCGCAACTATTACCCTCGCCGAAACAAGATTTGGAAAATATGCCAGGGTTGGAAAGTGGAAGTGGAAATATTGCCCAGGCTGAGAATATAGAACCGCAGACAGTAAGATTTCCGTGGTAGTTATGTAGAGTATCATATGGTCGGCCCCGTTAGTCTACACTGCTCCGCTCACTGTTTTTTTTTTTTTAATATTTTTTTGAGCAGTAAATTCCAAATGAAAATTGTCAAAAAAAATCATAGAAGAATTATTCTTTGGAAAAGTAAAAGATAGATTTCATGATCAAATTCCTACCTAGCTAGGTATCTATATTTTTGTATAGTATATACTAATCTTCTGCTGCCAAAAACAAATTTTCCCACAATAGAAAATCTTAAACCCCCCAACATAAAGATTGTAATTATGGACAAATAATAAAATATCGAAATAACAACAACAAATTAATGCGGATTTTTTTACAACCACAATGTCGTTTGGTCAATAAAAAAAAGAAGCGTAGCCGTATTTTTTTATTGCCAGCCAATTAATATTTTTTTAATTGCTTTTGGCTCCCAAACAACCGAAACCGAAGCAGCCAACGAACGAACAGTAAGTCAAAGCTTATCGTGTTTGGGATTTGATTTTTTATGGGTCATTTTCTCTTTCACTTCACAAGTTTAGCGGATAAGGCGTCATATACAATATCGGGATTATAATTAGGATTGGAAATACAACAACTACAATAATTTGTTGTTTTTTTTAACTTACCACAATCTTCAAAGGGCAACGAACGGGCCATTAAAATTTTCCTATAAACGGTATTGGCATATCCGCTAACAGTTCCATTCGATATTAGCCCGCTATTGCAACAGGCAATCCAAAACGAAAGTAACAACAAAATTTTCAAATAATAAACAGATTTCATGCTCGTCAGGGTAGGTGGCGATGATGGTTAGCTTGCATAAAGACTTGTCCGGCGAATTGCAGTAGGTATTCAAATTTATACGCAAATTTTTTTGGGAGGACCGTGCAATTGATTAGAGAATTTTGATTTATGAACTGTTTTGATTTCACTGGGATTATATATATTTTGCTTGCTTTCTTTTTTCAACACTTTTTTTGCAATATTTATTTTTTTTTGTTTGTTTTTTTTTTAATTTATATTTTTTTTTTATAAAAAACTTTGCAAATAATTTTAATGCGATTTTTTGTTATTTATTTGTTTGCTTGCTCCAATTTTAAATATAGAAACGTATTGCTGCGATATTTAACAAGAATGGTCGCGAATCAACTGGCTTAACATTCAATACTGATATGGGCCAAAAACGAAATAAATGTTTCAAGTGGCTTATTGGGCTAACAGCACAGCACACCCCCGACCCGGCCCGGCCCACCTTTCTTTATATGTGATTTAGTGGCGGAGTGGTGTGGTGTTGCGGTTGCTGTTGTTGGTATTTTTTTTTTCCAACGAAGGTATGTCATTAAGTCGCGTGGTATCAATCGACGTCACCGTTTCAGCACCTAATCGCAGCTGATTTTGTTGTTCTTTCTCTGGAATGTCTTGAAGTTTTTGTTTATGTCCCCCCTCCTCGTTACTCCCAACCGCGTAGCTTCTCTGTTTTATGTTTTCTAGTCTTCGATCATTTGACTTTATTCCGATAAGTAACAGCCACTCAAGTCGGTTTTTCCGCGCAGAGATATCGAGGAACATTCATCGACATCATCAATTAAAATAACAAAATTTGCAAACCTTTTGGCAAAGTCACGTAAAGAAATCAAATCATCATTCTTGATTTAAACAAAAAAAATCGAATCGATTGTTTTCGGAAAATTTTGTTGTTAATACCCAACCGACCGCCGCCGCCGCATTTTGGTAGCATGTGAATATAGGTGATTAGTCAGTGTGTCGCCAGAATTTATATTTGATTAGTTAGTTGGTGGGAAAAGTTCCACAGTAATCTAATATAGACAGATCGCATATTTTGTTTGTATATAACAAGAACAATGGGGGAGAAGGGGCGGTGATGTAGGGTTGTTAAAAAAAAAACTGATTAGATATAGAGATTTAAAAAATCTTAAACATTTCGTAATAATTTTTTCTTTGTTGTCCATTGGGTTACAACATCAGCAATGGTGATATGACGAGAGTCAGACTACATAGGGGTAGCTCCTGACCCACCCGGACCGGATGTATGCAACCTGTTGGAGGCTATAAGTAACATTGGTGACTTAATTATTTGATACGATGCCAATGTCCAGCACTTCCACTGCGGTAGCAGTTACACCAATCCAAGAGATGAGTCCATATTTGATTTTATACTTAGATATAATCTTGGGATATACAATAGGGGCAACACAGCAACGTTCGTAAATCAAATGAGAGGCGAAGACATTGACATAATCCTCACAAACGTGGACAACTCTGGGTTTACGAACTGGAAAGTATATGAGAAATGCTCCTCTTACCATAGGATGATACTTTCCCAGATTCCTATCTCCAGAGAAAAACAGATACTTTACAGCACCATTGTCATTTGACATACCCTGGGAGGAAATCTTCGCCGGTATGGTGGTCAGAAAACCTGGCATCCTTGAGGAAGGCTGCTAGGCTAAACGTGAGTTCTGTGTTTGCGAAGCGACAGAACGTGGATCATCAACTCACTTCCCTGGTTGTATGGACCATAACGACGAAGTGCGGTATGCACATCGTCATACGGTTAGAACCAAGGAAGAGGCGAAGTTGATAGAAAACACTATAAGAAACCAAAAGCTGGTATGGACAATAAATAGCTTTCAAACCTACATCAGGTCCAGAGGGCATAATACCGGCACGCTGATGATTTTTGGGGCTTGTCTGTATTTATCGCATTTACCAAGCCTATGGAAAGAGGTAACGGCGACTTTCATCCAAAAAGGCTGGGAAGCCGAGTCATACGAATCATACTTTTTACTTAAAACTTTAGAAAAGTTACTAGACTCTGAAATTTGGAACACTATCAACCCGAATAAAATTAGCAAATCCCTGAATACCAACATCAAAGACAAATCAGTGGACACTGATTTACATGAGGTGGTCGGACATATCGAAAAGAATATGGAGACCTCCGGCTACACATTGTAGTCTTGCTAATTGATGGCAAGTTTCTGCCGACTATTTCTGATGGACACACGTCAATAGACTTTGCGTAAACCTCACGAAGACAGAAATTGTACTCTTCACTACAAATAGTAACATCCCAAATTTCATTCTCTTTAGAAGCATCCTCGACCACAAACTAACATGAGAAATGAATTTTAAAGAGGGCCTTATAGGTAAGAGTTGAGACTAAAACCAGAGATCATACACTTTATGTGACGGTTGTACTCCCCATTCTTACACATGCAATCTTGAATCTCCAACCACTGGATTTTCTGTGCAGACCAATATCAATTCTTGGATACAAAACAACGTCAAATATTATCACCCATAATCGCATCAATAAATACGTCAATATATTAATGGATAACAACAGCAACAAAATAAAAAACAAATCACAGCAAACAAATAACAACAACGATTTATATCCCCCCACGATAACCACACGAACTTTATGACACATATCAAAGTTCGATAGAAACGATGAAAAATGAAGTAAGCTATTCTATCCGATAAAAAAAATCAGATGCCTCTTTTTGGAAAGAAATTCTCTTCGCCTATGGATTTTTTTAATTATGGAATATATTTTGTGTCAAATTTTATAAGACGAATTGACATGAAAGAACATTAACAGGCCGATGAATTCATGATTCCACTCCAGTCAATAACAAAATGAAACTCGTGCTCTGGTTGCGGAAAATTTCCTTAAAGAGATTATAATTTCAATAATAAATATAATAATATGTAGAAAAATTATTTGCAAAAATAGTAATTTTATCTTTTGTAAAGAATTTATTTGAAGGACCAACAGATCAGGACCAGCAGACCTACAAGCGTGGATTTTTAAATTAATTTTTGTCAAGGACCAGCAGAATTTAAAGCGTGGATTTTTATAAGGATTTTTGTCAGGGGCAGAATTTTTGGATTGTCAGGGGCCATCTGATCTATAAGCATGGATTTTTAAAAGAATTTTTGTCAAGGACCAGCAGACCTTTAGGCGTGGATTTTTAAAATAATTTTTGTCAAGGACCAGCAGACAAATAAGCGTGAATTTTTTACTTATTTGTAAAGGACCAGCAGGCCTGTTGGAGTGGATTTAAAATCATTTTTGTCAAGGACCAGCTGACCTATAGACGTGGATTTTTTAAATCATTTTTGTCAAGGACCAGCTGACCTATAGGCGTGGAATTTTAATATAATTGTTCTCAGGACCAGCCGACCTATAGGCGTGGATTTTTGAAATAATGTTTGTCAAAGACCAGCAGACCTTTAAGCGTGGATTTTTAAAATCATTTTTGTCAAGGATTGACAGACCTATAAGCGTGGACTTTTAAAGGGTTTATGTCAATCACCAACACACCTATAAGAGTGAATTTTTAAAATAATTTATGTCAAGGACCACCTAACCTATAGGCGTGGACCTACAGACCTATAGATGTGGATTTAAAAAAATAAAATTTTGTCAGGGACCATCACACCTATAGGCGTGGATTTTAAAAAATTGTTAGGGACCATTAGACCTAAAGGCGTGGATTTAAAAAAAAATGTTGTCAAGGACCATCAGACATATAGGTGTGGTTTTTTAAAATATTTTTTGTCTGGGACCATCAGACCTATAGGCGTAGATTTAAAAAAAAATTTTGTCAAGGACCATCAGAACTATAGGTGTGGTTTTTTAAAATATTTTTTGTCAAGGACCAGCTCACCTATAAGCCTGGATTTTTAAAAGAATTTTGGTCAAGGACCAGCTGACCTATAAGCGTAGATTTTTAAAATAATTTTTGTCAAGGACCAGCAGACCTATAAGTATGGATTTTTAAAATAATTTTTGTCAAGGACCAGCAGACCTATAAGTATGGATTGTTAAACGAAGTTTTTCGAGGACCACAAGACCTATAAGCGTGCCTTTTATTTTCCTTGAGAGTTGGCAGACTTATAAAAGTGGATTTATTTTTATAAATTTTACCTACCTATTTCAAAATACTTGCAGCTTTTTATTATGTTAACTTTTATATATATATATAAACAAAAATTGTATTTTTTCTGTACATACAATGCCATTGTATTAGGGAATGCAATTTATTTTTTTATAATATCAAATAAACAAGTTTTTGTTTAACATAATACAATCCAAGATAAATAAATAAAAAGTATATATTAATAAATTATAATAAAAACATGTCACCATTTATATCTTCATATTTGCTGGATAACATGATTGATGGATGTGTCTGCTGTCAGTCTGCATTTCACCACTTTTGGGGTTTATTCGATAATGCCCCTTAAGTTGTTTGTATTTTTTATGTCACGAAAATCAGCACGTAATTGAATGAATTGACGTACTACCGATTTGTCCAAATAGTTCTAAAAATAAATCAACGACAAAACAATGGAAAATCCCATTAATAACAAAATAATACAATGCCATGAGAGATTAGTAGTATAATGAGTAAGAAAGCGCGGAATATTAATTGATTAAGGCGGAGAAATATGGCAATGTAAATAATGATATTGTTTGTGTTAATTTGTTTTTGTATTTAAAATAACAGGAACTCACCAATGTTTCTCCCGTACACACTTCCAGTAAATTCTCCGGTTTTACCAACAATAAATTACACAAAGCGTGTAGTATGTCAAATAATTGTGTTACCAGTGGACTATCCAGTTCACGTATACACTTGCGATATTCGTTCACGTCACAAATGGCGCACATTGCACCCGCCGTATTAAATTGCATTGTCTGCAAATGATCGTAGATGACACGATGTAATCGAACACCGAATTCATTGAGTATTTGTTTTTGATTTTCACCATCGAGACATTTTTTAATTTGTTTAATGACGGGGTGAATGTTTTGAACGACATGCGAACAGGCCTGAAAAAAAAAACATACAAAATTAAAAAATCGTTATATATGGAAGTGTACATTTAATTATTCGAAATAATAGAATTGTGTTTGGGGTCCAAAACGACCCAATCTCACATGACTATTAAGGGGAGTACTAGGAGGATATATATTTTTATATTAAATTTGGCAATCCGAAAACCTCGAATAATAATTTTTGTGAAGCAACAGCAGACCTATAGGCGCGGATTTTTAAAATAATTTTTGTCAAGGACCAGCTGACCTATAGGCGTGGATTTTTAAAATAATTTTTGTCAAGGACCAGCTGACCTATAGGCGTGGATTTTTAAAATAATTTTTGTCAAGGACCAGCTGACCTATAGGCGTAGATTTTTAAAATAATTTTTGTCAAGGACCAGCTGAACTATAGGCGTGGATTTTTAAAATATTTTTTGTTAAGGACCAGCTGAACTATAGGCGTGTATTTTTAAAAAAAATTTTGTGAAGGACCACCTGAACTACAGGCGTGTATTTTTTAAATAAATTATGTCAAGGACCAGCTGAAATATAGGCGTGTATATTTAAAATAAATTTTGTCAAGGACCAGCTGAACTATAGGCGTCGATTTTTTATAAAAAAAATAATACTTACTGCTGATGTTATTGTATCAAATTCAAAATCCGGCTTATTGTAATCCGTTTTCTTTTGTTCATTGGTTAAATACAATTTAACCCAACCGATTACAGCATTCAATGTACGGTCTAAACCCTGATCAAGTTTAGTCTCAATTTGTTCCATCATTGTGCGTTTTTTGAAAATATATTCCGAATATTTGGGGGTATTACTAAATAAAATTAAAAAAAGTAAAATAATTTTTTATTATTGATTAATCATAAATAAATTGCAGTTATAATACTTACATTACACATGGTACCACCGATGTATTACACTGATCCTCCAACAAATGCACAATAATATTTGTTTTCTGGACAACATCGAAAAAATACAATTGCGGAAATTGTCTACCCGTATCGGCAATTGGTATAATATTTAAACCCAAACCCAAGGCATAAATGGCATGTTCATTCATCAAATACTTTAGAAGAATATCATTTAATTTTATGATATTACTGGGTAAATCCGATTCGGAGGAGAGAACACGACACCGTTTAAGTGAGGCATTTGCATCTTGTAACATTTTAATGGCCAATTCTTCGGACAGGAAAGTTTCACCACCATAATCCTCAACTTGAGCTATATTGATATTGGCTTTGGTACGTATCAACTCTTGCATATCACGTTTTAATTCCTGAAAACGTTCAGCGGGTTTTTTTTGATGATTTTTACTGGCATAGAATTTCTCCAACTCGGTGGCACATTTACGCGTAAGAAATTGTGATTCAATTTCCGCATAGCCTATTAAATGTTTTTGGAATATTTGCTGAGTCAATTTATTGAGTAAATCATCATCCATTGCTGACATGTAATGCTGAAGTTCGGTGGAGAGTTTGAGGGTGCTGAAATTTTAGAACAGAAAAGACAAATTATTTTTTATTAAGGGCTATCAGACCAAAAGGCGTAGATTTTTTAAATAATTGTTATTAAGAGATATCAGAACAATAGGCTGGATTTAGAAATAGCTTTTATTAACGACCATCAGATCCATAGGTGCGGATTTTTAAAGTAATTTTTATTAAGAGCCATCAGAGCCATAGGCGAAGAATTTTTAAATAATTTTTATTAAGGGCCATCAGAACCCTAGGCGGGAATTTTTAAATAATTTTTATTAAGGGCCATCAGAACCCTAGGCAGGGAATTTTTAAATAATTTTTATTAAGGGCCATCAGACCCATAGGCGTGGATTTTTTAAGTAATATTTATTTAGGGCCATCAGAACCCTAGGCGTGGATTTTTAAAGTAATTTTTATTAAGGGCCATCAAAACCCTAGGCGTGGATTAAAGTAATTTTTATTTAGGGCCATCAGAACCCTAGGCGTGGATTAAAGTAATTTTTATTTAGGGCCATCAGAACCCTAGGCGTGGATTTCTAAAGTAACTTTTATTAACGACCATCAGATCCATAGGCGCGGATTTTTAAAGAAATTTTTATTAAGGGCCATCAGAACCCTAGGCGTGGATTTTTTAAATAATTTTTATTAATGGCCATCCATAGGTCTTTATGGACATGGTTTTTTTTAAATAATTCATGTGCCCACTTACCGTGAATACAACTCATACAGCGTTTTCAAATATTTCTCCTCATCACGTTTATCATCCAACTTCGTCATGGCATATTGATGTAATTTCAATTGATATATATTCAGAATGAATTTCGACATCACCTGTTGGGGATTTGAGAATACCTTCTTGATAATTTCATAGTGATGTTTACACATTGGTACAATGCCAATGAAAATATCCTTGCCACCGTATGGAGTCATTTGACTCTGTTCAATATAGGCATCTATGCACTGAGCATAACCCTTAAACTGTGATAGGATCTGGGCTAATTTCTTCATTTTTTCAATATCTTCACTTTTTTGTGCCGTAGCAAATTCCTCGATGAGACGTCTCTCCACTTCATCATATTTCTTTTCAATTTTCCTCTTGGAATCGACAAATTTTTCTGGTGGCAAATCCTGTGCAATGGCATAGAGTTTTTGTATAACATCGGCTGCTTCATAGAGTCGTGTGGGATCCGTGAAGATATCATTTACAATTGGTCCGGAAATTAAAAATTCGGTCATGTAATTTAGTAGCGTTTGGGCTTCTACCGTACGGCTACGTGGTGTATTGACATTTTCCAATTGCTCGCCCAGATGTATTATTTTACCAGCCACAGAATTAATTTTCTCATCCAATTCCCAAAATACTCCGGAGGCCAGTTGATGGCGTTCCTGTAATTTTATTATATTCTTTGCATGGGCTTCCTGTTCCTGTTTCAGTGCCACCTCTAGACGTTCGCACTTGGCCTGTTGTCGTTCCTGCAGAATTTTCAAATCTTTAATGGTTTGTATGAATGTGTCATGCAATGCCGTGGGATTGAAATCTTTAATTCCAGCTCCGATGATGCCATCCAATTGTGATTGTTTGCCGCTGCTGTTGTCACATTCGTTATTTGTACGCCAGGTTAATCTTTCGACAAAGCCACTAACTTCAAAGGGTTCCTAGTGAAATGGGGAATGCCTCAATTAATTTGGTTATATCGAATGTGAATCTCATTGCCTCTACATACCTGTTCAAATTCTTCCATATATTGGGAAAGCATTTTCAATATTTATTTTGTATTTGTTTCAGAAAAGATTAGTAATTCTCTCAATTGATAGGCGTTTCGATAAGAAAAATATTGTGAAAAGCAGTGGCCAATAAAAAATTGGATAAAAGCAAAACTGCAATGTTACGAATGAAAGTTCAAAGTAAATTCAAAGTGTTTAGAATAAGAGCAAAACGGAATAAATAACAGCTGTTGGTGCTTCTTAAATGATGACGGAAATATGATGGCAACAGTGGGCACGAGTTATTGAATCGGGGGGATAAAATATATATTAAAAAATTATTACAATACTAACAAAAATATAATTTTTAGAACAAAATTTTTAAATATTTTATTTTTTAGATCTGCAGCCTCGATATGTTCTAAAACAGAGTAGTTAAAATTTTTACGAATTTGCCGTATTTTTACGAATTTTCCTTAATTTTTATTAAGACCGCTCATACCCATAGGCGTGGATTTTTTAAATAATTTTTATTAACGACCATCAGACCAATAGGCGTGGATTTTTTGAATAATTTTTATTGACGAACATCAGACCAATAGGCGTGATTTTTAAAAAAAAATTATTGACAAACATCAGACCAATAGGCGTGATTTTTAAAAACATTTTATGAATTTTTAGAATTTTTCGTATTATGTGTGTTCGGAGATCGGGAACAGAACGAATACGAAATATTAATCGATTAGTCAAATATCGATTTCACACCCCTATTTTGTAAGGAGAATAAAACAGCTGATTGGTTACCAAAACAACATCACAATATTGTCACTATGCCTCACACTCATTCGTAAACATTACCCATTTTGTTTCGATCTGGGTTCTTATCACACATTCTCATTTGTCAACGGCAATTCGTAGCATGTGGAACGTTTTCAATTAGATTGGTTCATTCGGCTCAAGGCTCACCAAGGAGGCTTCATTCAACGAGGTGATATCGAATTGGATTCGATAATAATTAGGATTATTTAAGTATTAAAATAATAATAATATATTTAAATATATATATTTATTTTCTATTTTTATTTCAGCATGGGAAAATCACATAAATCCGAGAAAAAATCCAAAAAACATAAGCACAAGGAACATAAGGAAAAGAAGAAATCCCATAAACACAAGAAGAAACATTCAAAGTCAAAGGAAGAGGAGAAAGGGGATAAGACAAAAGACTCCATGCCAGCAGCAGCAGTAGATGACCATGAAGAAGACTTTGCCATACCATTAGATTTAATGAATAGTAAATCACATGCTCCCGAAACCCCCGAGGAATATCAAAAGCGACAAAATAGAATTCGCCGGGAAGTAGATCCCAGTACCGGTAGGGTACGTTTAATTAAAGGAGATGGTGAGGTACTGGAGGAAATTGTAACCAAGGAACGACACAAGGCCATTAACCGGGAAGCAACACAGGGAGATGGAGCGTTTTTCCAAGAGAATACTCTTGGAAAATTAAAGTGATGGTGGAATAAAAAAGACATTTTTTATTGTTTTTATTTTTACTCTATCTAGTAAACGATTTTCTTTAATAATAATCATAATAATATATAATTTTAAAATACTATTTCATTTAAGTATGTATGTACATAGACGTTAAGGAATGATCTTATTTTATTTTAAAAATATATATGTATATGCTAAAATATAACGCAACAAAATATGTTTTCTTCTTCTCATATAGATATAATATAATAATTACGGAACTTCAGATAAGTTCAACTAGGTATATAAAAATAAGTTTAAATATAATTTTTGTTTTGAATACAAGAATATAAACATGTTAGTTCGGGGTGACTTAGGTAAGAGAAGGGAGGGAGAGGTGTTCGAAGGTAAAAGTCATTTAGAACATTTGATAGAAAAATGTTGTTGCACCATCCTGCCATGTCGGATCTTCGCTAACCTTGGCACGACACATGGGACAGGTTTGTTCACGCTTAAACCATGTATTAACACAATCATCACAGAAAATATGACTACACTCCAATACAACGGGAGTTGTATAGGCATCATGACAAATGGGGCAAACAGTACCGGCCGCATCCAGTTCATCTTTGGTTGGCTTGCGATCGTAATCCTAAAAAAAAAGAATTTAGTTTTAGAATAAAATTAAAATAAAATTTGAAATTCAAAACTATTTACCATATTGCGTATGAAATTAACCAAAGCCTTTTTCAACGATTTACCACGCTCAACAAATTCAAAGCCTTTAGCACCCAAATAGAATGAGGAGAACAGTATACCGGATATCTGAAATTGGGGGATTATTATTACAAATTGAAACCTTTTGTTTTTGGGGGAAAAAATACTTACAATTTCCAAACCTGTATACGATTCAAATAAATATGTTAACCATTGTCTCATTGGAACCAATGCTCTATAAAATTGTGATACATATTCTATTAGAGCATATAGGCGAGCCTGAAAGTATATAAATATAATTGAATGAGAAAATTAAAACAAATTTTATAGACCCTAAGGCGTGGATCTTTTAAACAATTTTTATAGCCTCTTGATAGACCCTAAGGTGTGGATTTTTTAAACAATTTTTATAGCCTCTTGATAGACCCTAAGGCGTGGATTTTTTAAACAATTTTTTTAGAGCCTCTTGATAGACCCTAAGGCGTGGATTTTTTAAACAATTTTTATAGCCTCTTGATAGGCCCTAAGGCGTGGATTTTTTAAACTATTTTTATAGCCTCTTGATAGACCCTAAGGCGTGGATTTTTTAAACTATTTTTATAGCCTCTTGATAGACCCTAAGGCGTGGATTTTTTAAACTATTTTTATAGCATCTTGATAGACCCTAAGGCGTGGATTTTTTTATAGCCTCTTGATAGACCATAAGGCGTGGATTTTTTAAACAATTTTTTTATAGCCTCTTGATAGACCCTAAGGCGTGGATTTTTTAAACAATTTTTTTATAGCCTCTTGATAGACCCTAAGGCGTGGATTTTTAAACAATTTTTTATAGCCTCTTGATAGACCCTAAGGCGTGGATTTTTTAAACAATTTTTTTATAGCCTCTTGATAGACCCTAAGGCGTGGATTTTTTAAACAATTTTTTATAGCCTCTTGATAGACCCTAAGGCGTGGATTTTTTAAACAATTTTTTATAGCCTCTTGATAGACCCTAAGGCGTGGATTTTTTAAACAATTTTTTATAGCCTCTTGATAGACCCTAAGGCGTGGATTTTTTAAACAATTTTTTTATAGCCTCTTGATAGACCCTAAGGCGTGGATTTTTTAAACAATTTTTTTATAGCCTCTTGATAGACCCTAAGGCGTGGATTTTTAAACAATTTTTTTATAGCCTCTTGATAGATCCTAAGGCGTGGATTTTTTAAACAATTTTTTTAGAGCCTCTTGATAGACCCTAAGGCGTGGATTTTTTAAACAATTTTTTTAGAGCCTCTTGATAGACCCTAAGGCGTGGATTTTTTAAACAATTTTTTTAGAGCCTCTTGATAGACCCTAAGGCGTGGATTTTTTAAACAATTTTTTTAGAGCCTCTTGATAGACCCTAAGGCGTGGATTAATTCCGTCGATCAACTTCGTCTGTCAGGAAGAGGTCCTTAAGATAACTATCAATCAGCAACCATTTATCCTCACTGATAATTCCAACGGGGACGTCGGGGTCAGCCCGATCCATGACTGATATAAGACTCAAAAGCAGATCACACTTTCCAAAATTAAAATAAAAAAATTACTTTTTCTACTAGATTCCTGAATGTCATGGAACAGAACAATGATGCTATTATAACCTAATTTCATCATAAATACATATTTTTGTAATGTAAATTATTAATTTTCACAAACGCACACACGAATGATCATTACGACGTGTTTTGTTCTTCTTGTTTTTCTTCTTTTACTCACCCTCGATTTATGACGTATTACACGGGCAGGCAACATTGTGACAAATATCTTCACCAATTGTGTCAACAACTTCAATATCAAATCATTAACAGCTATATAGTAGAGCAGAACACCCAATGAGATCGATGGTGGATTAATCAGTAGACCAAATGGATCCGGTGTTGATGGAGCCAACAGGAAACGGTATGTTACGATACACACCACCAGAATTGTATCGCGTGTCAGATCAGTATAGGACTTTTGATTGACTTTGGCTATTTGCTCCTTCAGCGATTTGTTGACTTGAAACATGACCGCTTGCAACACGATCAAATCGAGAATACCCAATAAATGATCATAAATGAACTTGACCAACAGTATGCATATGAAAAGCAAATAGCGGACGAAGTGCGGAAAATTTTTATCAGTCATTTCATCCATTTCGATTGTGGGTGCATTGCTGCATTGGTTCGTCGCTCGTCGTTGTCACCTTTGTTCAGGTCGTCGTCGTCCGTTACCGCTCGACAATAATGTTGTCCGTTATTACTACAGTCGTCACTATATACTACTATTATTACTACAAATTGTTTGTTTGTACACTTTTTTGCCACTTTTGTTCCAATTTGCTTGTGGTGCTATACCCTATATCAATGCCTGATAACGAGAGAATATCTGATAAAGCAGGAATTTAAAGCGAACTAGCAAATATTTACGAATGAAGTGGTGTAATGGACATCGTCTGAGACAGCCGATTGTTAAGAAAGGAAGGGAATGAGAGATCAGTAGTCTTGTGTCGTTCGTGAACGACCTAGTTCAATTGAACGAGTCAGTCCACTGAACGAGTGAACGACATCGTTCAATGTTGATTATTGTCGTTCACTGAACGATTCTCTTTACAAAACGCCGTCACTGAACGACTTTGCTCAATGAACGTCGTCGGTCACTGAACAACATTAAATTTTACTCTGCACCTTCTGTTTTGTTCACAGGTGCACCGACTTTGACAAACTGAACGACGGTAATCAAGAAAAATTTCATAGAAAATCTGTTAAATTGAAATAAGGTACGTGTAATAAAATGAACAATCCGGTCTTATTTCATGAAATGCGGAGCTCAAAAGGCGAAATGCAAATACTGCAGTAGCTAGGTATAGTCAGTATATAAATTTAAGCAACATTTAAAAGCAAAGCAATGTGCTGCCTTACGTATTGAACTGAGTGATCATTTGAACGATATAAGGCAACTGAACGAGGTGAACGACCTAGTTCACTTCTAAAAAATTACCTAGTTCGTTCGATCACTGAACTGAACGAGATTGCCCAAGACTAGAGATCAGACAATTGAACTCAATTTAATTTGTTCAAGTGAACGATTCTCTGAAATGAGCGACGGAACTAGACAAAGAATTAATATTAACAATATATTTAAATTTAACGCAACTTCATTGTATAAATGTCAAAAAATCTTCAAAGAGGGGATTAACCAGGAGAAAAGTTCTTGATAGATCATAAGGCGTGGATTAATTCCGTCGATCAACTTCGTCTGTCAGGAAGAGGTCCTTAAGATAACTATCAACCAGCAACCATTTATCCTCACTGATAATTCCATCGGGGTCAGCCCGATCCATGACTGATATAAGACTCAAAAGCAGATCACACTTTCCAAAAATAAAATAAAAAAAAATTACTTTTTCTACTAGATTCCTGAATGTCATGGAACAGAACAATGATGCTATTATAACCTAATTTCATCATAAATACATATTTTTGTAATGTAAATTATTAATTTTCACAAACGCACACACGAATGATCATTACGACGTGTTTTGTTCTTCTTGTTATTCTTCTTTTACTCACCCTCGATTTATGACGTATTACACGGGCAGGCAACATTGTGACAAATATCTTCACCAATTGTGTCAACAACTTCAATATCAAATCATTAACAGCTATATAGTAGAGCAGAACACCCAATGAGATCGATTTTGCAAGGACATTTGTACCACCCAACGGATTCGATGTTGGATCTGCAGCAGGTATATCAACAACATCTTCAATATGTTTTGAGGCAATTCCAGGTGCGAATGTTACATCCATTAGACCACCACCACTATCCGCCTTATTGTGAGCTGCAGACGAAGTGAATGACAAATCAAAAGATAGCTTCTCCCCCGGTGGATTAATCAGTAGACCGAATGGATCCGGTGTTGATGGGGCCAACAGGAAACGGTATGTAACGATACACACCACCAGTATTGTATCGCGTGTCAGAGTAGCGTATGACTTTTGATTGACTTTGGCTATTTGCTCCTTCAGCGATTTGTTGACTTGAAACATGACCGCTTGCAACACGATCAAATCGAGAATACCCAATAAATGATCATGAATGAACTTGACCAACAGTATGCATATGAAAGGCAAATAGCGGACGAAGTGCGAAACAATTTTAACAATCATTTCACCCATGGCATTTGTATCGGGATCATCCATTTCGATTGTGGGTGCATTGCTGCCAGCCAGGGAGGCCTGCCGCTGCGGCGGCAAACGTCCATTATTTCCTGAGCCGCCACTGCCACCGTTACCAGTAGCCCCATTACTTTGTCGCCG